AAAACATTATTTGCAAAATATAAATATTGCTCTTTATCTTTAAAATTGTTGATCTGCTTAAAAATATTATTTTGTTAAATATTAACACGCAATATTAATTTTTTTTAAAAATGAGCGTGTTACAAAAGTGCTTGTTTTTAACTGAAACTTTTTAATATTTTTCTATTAAGCATTAAATCTGCTATATACTGTTTATAATATTATTTTGCTGGAGACTACAATTCCGTTAAATATGACTATTAATATTAATTATATTAACTACCTATATAAGTTTCAAAAATTGTGCGCAATGATTATATCTAGAAACTTTCAAATTTTTGAAAAATATTAATTTTGCCATATATTTTCAAATAATTATTCTGATTAAAAATACTATTTTGTTAAATATTCGCATGCCATATAAATTTTAAAAAAGGGAAAAAAATGCAGGAATTAAAAAATAATGCAAATTTGAAAATAAAACTTTTTTCCTACTAAATATCAGTTATACTATAAAACTATTTCAGTTATACTATAAAACTATTTCAGTTATACTATAAAACAAATCAATTATACTATAAAACAAATACGATTCTGCTAAATATTTACACTGAATATAATTTTTTTTGAAAAAGTGAGCTTGGTTGTTACATGCAAAAGTGCAAATTGAATAAAATTCGCATAAAATTATTTTTTCTGATTGAAAATACTATTCTGCTAAATATTTACACTGAATGTAATTTTTTTAAATCTCGAGATTTTTTCGTATCTCGAGAAATCTTTTTTTAAGGGAATTGAAAAATTTTCGCACACAATTATAAAATTCATTTATCAAAAGATAATTCCTTGCAAAAACTAAATTTTAGTAAATCTTTATTATTTTTTATTTAAATATACGACTTATTTAAAATTTGATTTCTCAGGAACTATTCAACCAACTTCGCTCAAATTTTTTATTTTGCCATGTAAAGCTACGTACTTCAAAGTGACGTAAAAAATAGTATGCCTTACAATTCAAAACTGTTTCGACTAATTATTAAATAAAATACTGAAAAACAATAAATATTTACTGAAATTTATTTTTTTGCACGGAATTATCTTTGGATAAATGAATTTTATAATTGCGTGCAAAAAATTCTTCTATTCGCTTGCAAAAATCTCGAGATCTGGTGAAGTACGCTTTTGTAATAAAAATGTTTCATAGTCTCTGAACGACTCCACTATTGAGTTGCTTAAAAATAAGCAACGAATTCAGAATGATGCATGGATTTTAATTGTTTTCCTCTACACTGTAAAAAAATATCCGTTATTTTTCGGACTTTCTCCGTATATGTTGTCGGCAATATAATTTTTCATGGTTTTTCACCCTATAAGCATATTGAAAGTGTTAGTATAGACTAAAAATAAACATTTAAATAGCAAAACTGAAAATAATCTTGAATTTTCTAATATTATTGAGACTGATTGCGCAACATTGTCAAAACCATATTGACGGAATTATGCAAATTCAAGATGATGAAAAAAATTCCCAACTTTTTCAGACATTTTTGCTAAAGATAAATATGATATAGAGGCAAGAAGAATTGAGCCTGTAAAGGTAAGATTAACATCAGACTTACCAGTGCCATTTTTTTTTATTGAAATAAAAATAAAATAATGAAGTCTTAAACATCAGAATAACGACCACTGTGCCAACTTTTTTTAATTTTGTTTTCAAACAAAGTATAAAATACTAAAATAAAATTTCTGATAAAATTTTTTTTTTGACAAAAATTTTCAATTTATCTTTTTATATCTCATATCACTAGTATTTTCATACTTTCATCTTTCATGTTTTTTGAATATGTGCATTTTTAAAATGTTTATATAATTTTCTCATCTTGATAGAAGAGCTTACTTAAGTTGTGTTAGTATGAGCAATAATACTTCGTGGTCAAAAACTTTATAGTGATTTTCAAACAAAGGATTTTGAACTGATAAAACTAAAGTCACAAAAACTATTAAAAATGAAAATCAAACTCTTAAATTGTTGGTAGCGCTTTTCCTCCTCGAACACTTTAATTATGCTATTATCTTTACCATGTGCAGAAAAGTGAATTTTTTGTAATTTATATTACTTTATATCTTGTTAATATTACAAATTTGATTATTTTCATTTTGATTATGCTTCTATCATAGGGAAAGTTTGGCAAATAGATAATTTATAAGAAGAAAAATTTAGATGGTGATTAAAAATTTTCGGGGAGGAGGGATGTAACATAAAAAGCTTCAATTAAACTTTTTATGCTGTTCCTTTTCTGTAAATCCTTTTCTCAATTTATTATTCAAAACTAAACGCTTTCTCACACTTTTAAATTCACATCCCATCCTTTAATCTATTTTTGGTTCAAGTAATTAAAAGTAAGACATTTTCCCCTTTGCTCTTCGTAGGAATCGCGCGACCTATTTAATAAACCAATTACAATTACTAAGATTTCCCTTATTCCCCAAAACAAGACATTTTACGGATTTTATTTCCAAGATTTTCCCTAACTTTTATTTGAGCTTACGATGATTTTGTTACTTTCTCTCTCGTCCATCATCGCATAATAATTAAATAAAACAATTATATATATATATATATATATATAACTTTAATAACTTCCAAACTATTTTAGCTCCAATGATTAAATTGACATGTACATTTCATATTCAATTTAGCATAAAAATATTCATCAAAAATATCTGTATAGTAATAATTTGACATCTTTTCTATATCAGAATACGTACAGTGAAAAATATATACATACCACCTTGATTAATGTTTGATCTAATGATTGGATTTTAACGTATTAGGACTCAATCTTAATTTTTCGAGGGGTGACCTCAAATATGCTAATTATTCCGTGCTGAAGATATTTTAAGTTACGAAATAAGACACAAAAATTTACTTTTTATCGGAAAAAACATACCATTGTTTTCTTCGTATTATGATTCCTGTCCCCCAAAATACAGCGGTTGCCTGAATATGGGAAATATGGTTTCAATAGTTTGATCAAGAGAGTGCTCGAAAGCTTGAAACCATTATTACTAATTTTAATTTTGCATTTTTAGGCAATTGTAAGCGATTTATAAAATTAATTTATCCAAAAATAATTGTATGCAAAAAAAAATTTAATAATAAATTTTTCTTTTTCATTATTTTTTTTCATAATGGTCGGAAAAATTTTGAACTGTAGGGTGTGCAAGTTTTCAAATAATTTTAAGGAATATAATTTAAAATTACTTAAAAAAATACGGAAAAAAATCGATAAAATTAGTTTTTGGGAAAACAATTTTTAAATACCTGACTTTTTTAAAATTTGATTTGTGAGAATTTCACAACCAATTACTTTTAAATTTTGTATTTTGACGCACAAAATTACGTTATTCAATATCATGCAAAAATTTATTGACTTACAAATCAAATTTGTCAGATTATTATTAAATAAAATAATAAAATATAATAATAAAATGTAATAAATGATTATTACAATTTGCTATTTACATTGAATTTTCCCTACATGAACTAATTTTATAATCGATATTTCATCAATTCTCTTAAAACGTATTCTGCAGCTCTCCTGACCAAACTAATGAGACCTTATTTCCCAGATTGTGGCTATCTCTTATGTTTTGTGGATCAGAAATCATAATATGTAAGAAAAAAAGTATGTATATTCAGAGAAAGTATTATGCTTTTGTGTCTGATTTCGTAACTTAAAATATCGTCTGCAGTAATGAATTAGTATATTTGAGGACACTCCTTCGAAGATATGAATGAATCCTAGTACGTGAAATTCATGTCGTTAGATCAAAAGTTATTCCTGGAGTTTCGTGTATGTTTTTGTTCATTGTACCAAAGGCATTTTTCTCCATATATTATCTTTTTGTGAATATATTCATGAAAATGAAAAAAAAAATTGGATACTGTATTTGAAATCAGCTTTCCAAACAATATAAAAAGTCATTACATTTTAAATAAGTCTAATAGCTCAAATTCCAAAATCCAATGTCATTATACAAATTTTCAGAATTTATGTCTACTAATTGTTGAATTCCATAACCACGTGGTTTTGAACTTAACTTAATTAAAAATTCCTGAAATAGTTAGAAACGTGTGAAGCATTTGAGTAAAATTAAATCTCAGTTGTGCTTCTTCTGATAAAAACCATGAAAATCTCTCGAAGTTATTTCCATTATAATTGGTTTTTAAATCCCAGGAGCTTTTTCAGATCGATGTTTTAGTTTTATAGAAGCTTTCAAAGTTTATTTGAGTTAATTTACTGAAAAATAACTGAAATATGAGCTCAATGTTTGAGAGGGGGCTAAAGAATTTTGGGAGCAAAGATTCGTATAAATATCAGTCATATATTTATACGAATATCAGTCATATCAGTCATATATTTATACGAATATATTTATACGGAAACATAATAGGTAGTTACTATTATTATGTAATTGCCTATTATGTTTCCGTACGCAAAATATTTTGAAATTAGTATAAAAATATGATTAAAAATGGATGTATTTTTAAAATTTTTCTCAAATGCTTTTAAACGTTTACATAGACAAAAATAGCTTTTCAAAATATGTGTCAATATGTTAAGTTAAAACACATCAGCGAAGGAAAACTAATTTTTAGGAAACTAATGCAATAAATAACATTTATAACTTCCCTTTTCCTTCGTTTTATTCCATAAAAACTAGAAATTATAAATTGATATATTTTTTACCCACCGAAACGGTACTAAAATTGTTCCGTATATTTATTTTTGAAAGGTTAACTAAATGGATTTTCCGATACCCTTGGCCACTATTCTAAGTTCATAATAAAATATTCATAATATCGGTTATTTTTTCTTCTTTTTGGTTGTGTTCTTTTAGCCATGACGAATCGTCAAACACAAAATCAATTACAATTTCGCCAAGCATTGGCGGGAATTTAAAAGTCTTGGCAGCAGTTGGCTGTGATTTTTCTCGCCGTGATGCAATGCACAGCATGGCGCTCTGTAGAACAAAACCGCTCGTTATGAATAACAAAGGGGACAACATTAGGTGCAGTGAGTGGAGGGACGTAAAGGGACTAACCGGACTGGTCAAGTGAATGTCAGGGACGGGATGAGAAGGGACATCGAACCCTTTGACCTGTCCCAAGTATGGACTAGGATGAATTTTAACTCCCACAGAGAAAACAGTTGACATAGGTTGCCATGGATACCGCAACAATTTTCAGCTGCTGCCGAAAGTTGCACATGTGCTGGTTTCGAGTCTTTTGTTTATGTGCAATAATAATTGTAATAAACAACTTCTTGATAGCAGGTGAGATTGCAGCAATTTTTAATTTTCTTTTTTAATACATCCGATTTATTTGAAATATAAATGCTACTAGTTCAATTGAAAAAATTATAAGGGGTAAAAAAGGAAATGAATAAATTCCGAGAGAATTTTATTTATTGTATGAAAATAATTTAATAAGTATTACATATTATACAATAAAGTCAATATTTGCTAATGAATAAAAACTCAACAACATCAAAATCTTATTACGAAATTAATTTTTCGTGTGATCCTGTTTAACAGTTTATTTTATTATTTTTTTAAACGTAGATCTTTAGTAGTTAAAACTAGTTTTTATATAACTTTACAAACTCAGACTGAAAAAAATTATTGTGCTATTTTATAAATAATATAATAATAAATCATATTTAAAATTGAAATTTCATGTTATAAATATGAGAAACATAGTCATAAATCTTTTTTACTGATTTATTTTCTTTTAATGTATATATTTTTCAAGCATTTTTCATCTAGTCAATTTTGAGTATAATGTTTCTTTTTATGAAAGCTAAAGTAATTATAAAACTATGAAAGCTAAAGTAAAATTATGAAAGCTAATTATGAAGCTAAAGTAAAATATTTCTTAAAATGAGCATATATCTTATAAATTCTGAAAGGTTTTAGGTATTTCGATACTTTTAACTGGCAAATAAAAGTCAAATTTTAAATAAACTTAAGCTTGTTTATAAAAATGTTGTTTTAAATTTTTTATATTATCTCTTAAAAGTTCTATTATATTTTGTTAGAATTTCTATTCTAGTTCTAACAAATTTATTTTCGAATATTGTACTTTCTTTATGATAAAAAGTTATATTTTAATCAAAAAATATTGTGTATCATGTACATATCCTAAACACTAAGCTTGGTTTAAACGTGTTTCTGTATTTTTCTCTAAAAAAGTTAAGTTTCCAATTGTTAAATTAATTAATCAATAACTTTTAATTGATAAACATTTGTTAATAAATATATTGGAATTAAAAGAAAAATGTTTGTTAGACATTGTCGTGCTTATAAAATAGCAGTAAGTAATACAATATTATTATGAATTAATTAATAATTGTTCTACTAAATAATTCATAAAAAAAATTTATTACTAATTAATATTTTATGAGTCAAGTGCTTTTTCTTTTCTTTTCTTTTTTTTAGCATTTATTTAGTTCAAATTTATTTATTTCTTGAGATTTTTTTTTTCTTGTAGTAAAAGAAGCAATTTATATTTAAATAAAAATACTTACGAATAAGTAAGTATAAAAAAATGAATATTCAAAAAAATTTCCATGTCTTCCCTAGAAAAATAAATGTTAATTATAAATTTTTAAGAATTATTCACTCACTCTGAAGTTTAAGAGATAGTATAAATAAAAGAAGAAGTATTTATTGCAAGAAGAATGGTGAATATTAATACGTCGATATGCGGATTGTTTCCAATTTGATAAGGCGGGTTTTATTATTTATTCATTAATTGATTGTTTCAATGACTTATATCAATTGATACTCGTTGTTTATTCATGTGCGCTGTTATCTTTAAAGTAAATAACGATATCAAAAAATTACTTATTTACTGCAATCTAAAAATTTATTTTTTATATCAACTTCAATGTCTCATAAATAGAAATTTTTGACCTTAAATTCAAATTCGTTATTAGTTATAAGAATAAGGTAACATAGAATTAAAAAAAGACGTGTATTAGATCCGTAATTAAATATACTATTAAATTTAAAACATCAATCTGAATTGAACATTATCTTACTAAATTTAATGCTATTTCATATGATAGTATTAAATTCAATATTCTAATATTAGCATAATAACCATATATTTAGTAAGTAAATGTGGGCTATAATTTAATTGAAACTGCTTACAACGTTATTTTTTAAGTTGAGTTTTACGTAATTAAAATAAATACTTGTTGGTTTCAACATAATTAAAATAACTATTTGTTGGATTTAACATAATTAAAATGAATACTTGTTCGATTTAACATAATTAATATAAATACTAGATGGATTTAGCATAATCAAAATTAATACTTGTTGAATTTAACATAATGAAAATATCCCTAATAGAAAAATGTGTACTTTTTAAGAGGAGGCTATTTAGCAGAAATTCTTATTGACAATTTGACCTTCAAGTATCAGTAATTTAAAATTTTTAGTATGGGAAAAAAGTATTTCAGATAAATTAAGAGTGAATTATGAAACTGAAAATGTAAAAATGCTTTGAAATGATATTGAAAGAGAATTGTAGTATGAGCGTTTTCTTATTTCTCCAATCAATTCATTGAGGAATTCGGAGTAATCTGTAAAAGTGGTTTTCCCGCCCATACTGTTACCGCGCAAGAAAAATAACATCTGGGAAATTGACATAAAAAAAGACAACAGTAAATCAGGTCAACTGATATTTAGTTGTATTTTATTATGGGTATTCTACCTAATGTTATTTTTGTGTAATAATTTACAAGAAGTGTGAACAAATTTTAATGATTAAAATAGCTTTTAATGACATTGTTTGCTTTACATGAATTTTTTTTTTTCAAATGTCTAAAATAATCCCCCCCCCCTCGCTGTGAACATGTTAGGAAAATAACAACAAGGAAATTGACATAAAAAGAAAAGATGAGAATTAATTAAGCAAGTTGACATAAAGTTTTATTTCATGATTGATATTTGAATTAATTTAATTTTTACACAATAAGTTAACTAAAATAAACTGTCCATAGTAGTTAAAACTGCTGATAATAATTTTTCTATTATTCGTATCAAAATGTCATTCTCCTGCCTGTGTTGTATAATCGTGAAAGATGAATAACATCAAGACAGTTGACCGACAATGTATTCGATCAATAGCTATTCGGTTTATTATCTTACAAATAATCAAAATAATTCCATGCAAAAAATAACTTTTAGTAAACATTTATTATTTTATATTTTAATTACTTTATTTTTTTATTATTATTTTATTAATTGTAAAAAATTTGAATTGTATGGTACATAATTTTTACATAATTTTGGACAATGTAATTTTTAATAGCACAATCCAAATTTGTGCAAAATTCATCGACGAGTTTCTGAGAATTACAACTACTTTTTTTAAACATAAAAAAATATTTAAATTTTATTGGTGATATTTTCTCTGCTTAATCACCCAAAAATTCATAATGAAATTAGTTTAAAAATCATATTATACACTATATAAATTTTTTGTGTATATGAACAACAAGAATGGTGTCAAGTATTTTATACCATAGTGGTATTCCACTATAAGTGCTCCACTACACCAAGAACCAAAGATAATTCCTGGTGCAGTGAAACACCAACAGTGTTCTTCTACTCTACTTGGTAGCTACCACCATGTTTGGCGTATCTGAACACCAAGAATGGTAGCAACTATTTTACACCATAGTGTTTTGTGTATCTGAACAACAAGAATGGTTGCAACTACTTTAAACCATAGTGGTGCTCCATTACACCAAGAACCAAAGATAATTCCTGGTGCAGTGAAACATCTACAATGTTCTTATACACTACTCGGTAGCTGCCACCATGTTTGGCGTATCTGAACACCAAGAATGGTAGTAACTATTTTACACCATAGTGTTTTCTGTATCTGAACAACAAGAATGGTTGCAACTACTTTAAACCGTAGTGGTGCTCCATTACACCAAGAACCAAAGATAATTCCTGGTGCAGTGAAACATCTACAATGTTCTTATACACTACTCGGTAACTGCCACCATGTTTGGTGTATCTGAACACCAAGAATGGTGGCAACTATTTTGCACCATAGTGGTATTCCAATAACATCACTATGGTGTAAAATAGTTGCCACCATTCTCGGTGAAACATCTACAATGTTATTATACACTACTCGGTATAATGTAGATGCCACCATGTTTGATGTATCTGTACTCCAAGAATGGTAGTAACTATTTTACTCCATAGTGTTTTGTGCATCTGAACACTAAGAATAATGGCAATTATTTTACACTACAGTGGTGCTCCACTAAGTGCTCCACTACACCAAAAACCAAAGATAATTCTTTTTGCAGTGAAACATCTATAATGTTCTTAGATAATACTCGTTGCTGCCACCATGTTTGTTATTTACTAACACTAAAATTTATAATTACAGTAAGATATCACATAATTGGTAAAGTTATTTTTCGAGACAATACAATGTAAGAATCAGTAACTTAGGTTGCATACATACACTAGTTCTTAAAATAAAATTAGTTTGTAAATTAAACATACGCGTAGCACAGAGAGAATATTAAGACGAATTTGAACTAGGCTTAACAAAGTAGAATCGAATGCAAATTATGCAGAATAAAAATATTTAATGCAGTTTACAGAGACTTAAAAATTAAAAATCCTTTTTACACAGCTAAAAACATGCATGCATTTTTTTAATGGCGAATTTTAGTTTATGTAAATGAAAAACAGCAATAAAGGCGATCACCAACGCTCGCCAACTCGTTGTCGATTGTAAGCAATTACACACGAACTCACCAACATTGGAAGGTTGGGAAAAGATTTAACGTCTGGTGTAAAAATTCATGAACTTGGTGTAAACCTTTTTCGTTTCAGATGCTTAGAGCTGTCATACACCCTTTAAATTGTATATGAAGACTCGATTTGGTGTTAGGTTGAAAAAAAGGATTCGTTTTAGCAATTTTCAAGGTTGTTTAGCATAGAGTTTGGAGTGATAGTACACCATTGTTCTTACAATGTGTTCTATATAAAATACTTTTCTTGAGTCAAATATTTACCTTTTAAAAAATTGAATTTTAATGCAATGCAACAATAAAAAAATATATAAAATAATACATAAGTTTAATTAAATTAAGAAATATTTTTTTTATCGTATTTATGATTTTAATTTCTTTTAATCTCGTTATTCAAATACAAAATCGCATTATTGCCATTATTTATAGAACAAGTATTAAGAGAGCTAAAATACAAGAAAAAAACATTACTTTTCT